TTAAATTCCTTCTAAAGTAAAAGAAAAAATGAAAGTAAAAAAAAAAAAAATAAAAATTAATAAAGCTGAAAATTAAAATAAAATTCTGTAAAAGTAAAAATGAAAGCGAAAATACAAATCTACTAAAGTGAAAGTGAAATTGTAAGTCAAATTAATAATGAAATTACATAATAATCGACCCCCCAAGAAGTCGACTTTGTAATTTCGTTTTGACTTTGACTTTCACTTTCAGAATAAAAAAATTTCCCTTCTATTTTAATTAAAATTAACAATGTCACATAAATCATTGAAAATGTCTGACCAAAAATTGACTACTTTTATCAAGACTTGAAATTATGGCCTCAGTTTCTTGTTGAGGAACAAAGGCATAAGAATTTTTTTGTGTAAGAATATCAAAATTAAGAACCTGTATATAGTTTGTATTTTGTAATTACATTAACAAATTTTTGTGATTGTAAGCAACAAAATATTAATTTTTGAAAAATTTAATTATCTGAAAATCAATTTAACAAACGTAAAATGGTTGATATGTAATAAAGAAATTATCACTTTATTTAATAAACATGTAAATAATTTTCTAGTCAAAGCGTAATAGAATTTTGTTAAGTTATTATTTTAAATTTCTTCAAAAACTTCGTAGAAGTTTGGAAGATATCAATAAAAATATTCTTGCAATAAATACTCAATAAAAATAAGAATGTCAGCTCACTTTTTATTAAAAAAAACTTCTAATCTATTGATAACTAACTCTACCTATACGAAATAGTTTGAAATTAACAGAAAAGAAAAAAAATTTACTTTGAACAAATATAATTAAAAATTTTTTTTGAATTCGGTTGAGTTAAATGTTTTTTAATAAATTGTAATTTTTATTTTGAAATGTTATAAATATATTATTATTGAAATATAAAAATATACTAATTTTAATATAAATTTGATACTATTCTAGTAGGAAATAAGATCGACTCTATATCATTTTTGAAAATAAAATTTTCCTTTCTTTTTTTATATCAATACAAATTTTTGACTTTTTTAATACGAATAATTTTTGTAGAAATAATTTTTTTGTTCAATCGCAATAGAAGTTTTTTAAAAAAAGTATACTTTTCAATATCTTTCAACTTGTGGAGCACCTTGAAAGATAGCAATAAGCATGAATTAGCAATAAACTGTTTAATAAGAAAATAAATTACAGCAACTTTTTATTTACAAATTTCCAATTAATTTTTAATTTTTTTTTTAATTTCCAATCAACTACTAGCAATAGTTGTAAATAATAATTTTCTAATTTAGAAAAAAATAATTAAAATTTACTTCTAACAAATATATTTTCTTAAAACTTTTTTACTTTCTCATAGAGGAAGTATTGTAATACCAAAATTTTTCGAGTTCGATTTTTTGTCATATCTTTATGTTATTTGACCTCAGGAGTTCAAAAATGACATTTCTAAAAAATGTCATTTCGTATGCGTGTGTGTATGTGTGTGTAAACATCACATTTTCATAAATATCTCGAAATCATGAAGAGCTTTTGGGCTGAATTTTTTTTTAAATTGTAGATCTCACCTGCGGACATAAAGCGAGAGTACTTTCTGATATATTAATAAAGTTTAACTAAATTTTTTTTTTATTTTTAATTTTGCAAAAAAAACGTTTTTTGCCCATAACTTTAAAAAAATGTTAGGACACCTATAAATGTTTTTTCATAATTTTGTAGAGTTTTTTTAGACGCATCTTTTGAGCCCTAATTGAAAATTTTTCGTCCATATTAACCGGAGTTATTAAACTTTTAAAAATCAAAAATTTTGGAAAATAAGACTTTTTTGAAAATTTTGTTGAAAAACGTAGAAGTAACTTTAAAATTATCGTTATCAACTTGTACAGCATTAAAAAACGCTTCGATTGACCTATTTTTGAACCTAATTCGATAATAAATTTCGAAATTATTGGTATTTTAAAAACCAAAAATTGTGAAAAATGACATTTTCTCAACTTTTTTTGAGTTTTTTGTTTGAAAATTTTTATTTAACTATTAAATTATTGTAACTATCTTGTAGTGTATTTAAAAATACATTGATTGACTCAAAATTCAATCACTTTTACCATATTTATAAAAAGTTATTCATATATTTCTATGATTTTTATCTCCATGAGGAAGTAAAGTGTTCATGAAATGAGCACCAAAATTATAAAAAAAATATACAACGTGGCAGCGGTTTTTAAATTTGGTTGTTTAATTTTTTTTAATTATAATTCTTAATCTTTATTTTAAAATTTTTAAAATATATTATTATTCAATTACAACAATATATGAATTTTAATATTTTGAAACTATCCTAGTAGGAAATTAGCTCGACTGTATATTACACTTTTGTTCAAAATAAAATTGTCAACAATTTTGTTTAATTCAAAAACAGAAATTTTTTCTTCTTTCATATGGATGAATAATTTTTATTCCTAAAAATTATTTTATAGTAAACGCGCAATAGATTCTTTTTTAGTTGAATATTTTTAAATCACGTAAAACCTTGAAAGATATCAATAATCGTATGTGTATTTTCAATAAACTTTTTAATAATAAAAGAAATTACAGCTCACTTTTTATTAAAAAAAAACTTCTAATCTATTGATAAGTAACACAAGTTATACAAAAATGGTTTGAAATTAAAAGAAAGATAAATAAACATTATTTTGAATATATATTTTCAAATCTATTTTAACTTTTAGATAGGTTTAATTTTTTTAATGGAATTATTATTCTTATTTTAAAATCCCCTGAATATATTATTATTCAAATACAATATTTTAATGATTTTAATATAAATTTTAAACAATGCTTAGATCGGCTCTTTATTACCCCTTTTTCAAAATTATATTGTCCTTTCTATTTTTTATATCAAAAATAGAAATTTTTAACTTCTTAAATATGAATAATTTGTTTAGAAATAATTATTTTGTCAAATCGCAATAGAATTTTGATAAATATCTTTCAAATAATGAAGAACCTTGGAAGATATCAATAAACATGTATTAGCAATAAAATAGTTGCAGTATACATTGGACTTATTAAATATTCATAAAGTCTTCTTTATATTTATTGGTTTATGAAAAACAATTTTTTTGCTGCTTTTAAATTTAAAAATTTTTCAAATCATAGTTTTAAAGCATTAAAATTTCTAAATTTTTACGTTATTTTTGAAATTTTTTTTGTTTACTTTAAACCAATATATATTTTTTTAACTTGTTTTTAAATTTGGTTAAGCTTAACTTTTTTTTAATGAATTCTTAAAGCTGTGACGTCATAATAGTTCAAGTGTCCTTAATATGAAGAAATTTTTTTACAAATAACTTTTTAGATAAATGTCAATTGGATTTTTTTTAAGAAGAATTTTTTTACATATTTTTCAACTCGTGATTGGATTAAAAATATTATTATGTTTAATTTCAAAATAATTTTTGGTTGACTACAGGTATATAATAAAGATTAGTAAGTTTGATTTAAATATATTGTTTCTCAGTATAGAATCGAAACAAAGAAGAAAATTTTAAATTTATTTAAAAAATATTTTTGTTTTTTTAGAGACAATAGAAAATACAAAAAATGTAAAAAAAATAATCTTAGCAAAATTTCCTCGTTTTTTTAAATAAAATTCAATACATTTTTTTACAACAATGGATATAACAAATTTTTTTTCAAATTTTCTTAAATTTATTTTTTTATGATATTTTTTTATTTATTTCTTATTCTGTTCAAATGTTTAACATTATGAAAACCAAGTTTTAAAGTAGTATTTTTTTTAGATAAATGACAATAGAATTTTTTTTAAGAAGCATATTTTTAAATATTTTTTAACTCGTGAAGCACCTTGGAAGAAATCAATAAGCGTGTATTGGCAATAAAATTTTTAATATGAAAAGAAATTTCAGCACGTTTTTATTTACAAATTTACAATCTATAGATGAATAATTGTTTTTCATAGAAATTATTTTTCAATGTTGACCGAAAAATAATTTCTAAGAAAAACATTTATCAAATTAAAAAAATAAATAAAAAATATAAATATAAATAAATATATTAAATGTATTACTTAAAAAAAATTTAGTGCGCGTTGGCATACTAGATTTTTTCCCAAAGTTGGGAAACTTATTTTAGGAAAAGTGTCATCCTACCATATCAAACTATATTAGTAGAAATAAAGATCATCTCTCTATTACACCTTTTTTCAAAATTATATTGTCTTTTCTTTTTATACCAAAAATATAAATTTTTAACTTCTTAAATATGAATAATTTTTTTACAAATAATTTTTTTAATAATAGAATAAATAATGTTAGTAAATTTAATAATTTAATAATTATAATAAATAAGTTTTTCAATAATAGAATTTTTTAAGAAGCATATTTTTAAATATCTTTCAACACGTGGAGAACCTTGGATGATATCAATAATCATGAATTAGCAATAAATTTTTTAATAAAATTTGGAGAGAAAAACAAGCTGTAAAACTTGTTTTTCTTTCCCAATTTCGAATCTATTGATAACTGTAGCAAAAGCTGTAAATAATATTTTAAAGCAATAAAGTCTCTAAATATTTATGTTATTATTGAAATTTTTTATTTTCTGTAAAAGTAGAAATTATATTTTTTAAATAAGCAAAATAAAAATAAAAGCCTCAATTTAAAATTATTATTATAAATTTATTCGTCAAATCTATTGTCGAAATTTGAAAAAAAATTTAAACAAAATATAACTTTTCTTCTAATTTCTATAATTTAAAATATTAAGTATAAAATTATTATTAATTAAAATATTAATTTAAATTTAATATTAGTGAAAAATCTAAGCTTTTTATAATATTCTAATAATTATGCCTTTTTTTTAATTCTTGGAAATAATTTATCACTAGTTGTGAATACGTTTTCACGACAATAGTATTAAATTTATTGCCACTGATATAATTTAATTTCTGTTGAACAGTATAAAAAGCAAGCTTCAGTGGCTTAAATCATGCATTTGAATATTGAACTGCTTTAAAAATGGCGTTTATATTTGAAAAAATAATTCTTCTTCTTGCAATTAATTATCATTTATTATTAGCTCAAAACACAAGTCCTGTTGCTGTTCTTACATGGAATTTCCATAAAGCGGCCCAAAAAGGTAATGAATCTTAAAGATTTTAATGTTCTAATTTTTTGAGTAATAAAATTTTGAATATTTTGAATATTATTTATATTAATTGCTTTATTGAAACAAACTAGCATGAGAATTCTTCAAAAATACGATTATATTTCAAGATAATTTTTAAACGTAAACAAATACAATTTTTTTCAATGAAATTTGACAAAATTTTCAATTGTTTCAATTTTTTAAAATTATTTTCAGAAATAGGTACAATTAACTAATTTTTAAAAAATTTTAATTACATTTTTTCTATAAAGAAATTTTTTCTAAATTTCTAAATTTAATTATTCAAAACTTTAATACTTAAACAAAAATTTTTAAATTTATTTTAATTTATTTTTCTCCAGGAATTAAAATTTCAAATAATTTCAATGAAAAACCGTTTGAAATTTAATTAGATATTTCTAAAAGTGTCAACTATAATTCTTCCAAAATTCAATTATTTTTTTTAGACTTTTTAAATCAAATTATTCAAAACATTAAGAATTAAAAAAAAAATTTTTTAACTTAAAATAAGAATTTTAATATTTTTACACTTTTGCTTCCCTTAAATTTTCAAAGAATTTAATTTCCAAATTTTTTAAAAATATAATTAATTACTAAATTCCTGTTATAATGCTCTAAATATTGAATTATTTTTTAAAATTTTAACTCAATTTTTGTAATCAATTCCTATAAGAATTCAACTGTACGAGAATTGAATTATTGAAATAGAATAATTTCTGTTTTCTAAAATAATGTATTTTTAAAAATACAATTATGATTATAGACAATTTTTAAAGATGAATTAATAAAATTCATTGAAGTATAAAATTTATTTTAATAAAATTTTACAAAATTTCGAATTGTTTAAATTTTTTAAAATTATTTTCGGGAATTCAAGTATATCTTCAAAAAAATTTTAATTACTACTTTTCAAAAAACTAATTTTCTCAGAATTTCCAAATTCAATTTTTCAAATTTCAAACACTTTTAATGTAGAACAATTTGAAAATTTATTTTTATGAAATTTTTATGAAAATTTAAACTGCAAATCTTGCAAAATTCAATTATTTTTTAGAAATTTTTAATAATATTATTCAAAAATTTTAATTTTTTAGGAAGCTAAGAATTTATTAATTTTTATAAATTCCTAAAATAATTTATTTTTAAAAATACAATTTTATTTATAGATCATTTTTAAAGACGAATTAATAAAATTCTTTCAAGTATAAAATTTATTTTAATAAAATTTTACAAAATTTCCAATTGTTTAATATTTTAAAAATTATTTTCCGGAATTCAAGTATATCTTTAAAAAATTTTAAGTACTATTTTTTAGTATCTAATTCCAATCAATTCTTTCCAGAATTCAATTATTTAAATACAAAGATAATAAAATAATTAATTATTTTTAAAAACTGCAAATATATCTCCTTATTGAGTTTTTAAAATTTTCGTTAAATTTTCTTACTTCACTTCTTTTATCATTTACAAATTAACTGTCAAACTTTTGACATAACATTTCCAACTATAAAACGATTTTGGATAAAAAAACAATCAATCAAATTATATATAATAATAAAATATTATTGTAATTGTCTCGATTATTATTATTTAATTTTTCAGCGTGGTATACGTTGTTTAATGAAAAAAGAAGTGCTCTGGACGCAATTGAGGAAAGTTGCAATTTTTGCGAGAATAATGGTGGAGAATGTCGTTGGGAAGTAGGTTTAGGAGGTTGTCCTAACGAAAATGGAGACACTACATTAGATGCTCTTCTTATGGATGGGTAATGACATTAAATCTTTTCTCTTTTTTTTTTTTTGGTAATATAAAAATTATAAATAAAATTATAAATAAAAATTTATATTTGAATCGAATTGAGGGACTGAATACAATTTTCAGAGTAACTATGAACGTTGGAGCTGTTGGTGCAGTTAAAGATGTAAAGAATCCAATATCAATTGCTCGTAAAGTTATGGAAAATACTGATCATACTTTACTCGTGGGTGAAAGTGTCACTCAATTTGCCAAACAAATGGGATTTGAAACTCAATCATTAAATACAGAAGATTCAAAAGAAAAATGGCAGAAATGGAAAGAGAATAGCTGTCAGCCTAATTATTGGATGGTTATTATAATTTTTCTTCTTTTATTATGTTTGATATTTGAAAAGTGTTTTAATAAAATTAATTTTTTTCCTGTTTAAAGAATGTTGTACCGGATCCAGCAAACTCTTGTGGTCCTTATACACCAATTAAAGGGACAGATAAGCAAGAGCAGAAGGTATATTCACCCATAGATAATGAAATACATCATGATACAATGGGTGTACTTACATTGGATGTTAATGGAAATGTAGCTGCTGGAGTATCAACAAATGGTTTAGATTATAAAATTCCCGGTCGTCTTGGAGATTCACCTGTTGCCGGTGCTGGTACTTATGCAGATGCGACTGTTGGTGCCGCCGCTTGTACTGGTGTTGGCGATATTTCACTCCGCTTTCTACCAAGGCAAGTACAATTTTTTCAGTCATTAAATTATAATTTACAAAATTTCTCAATTGCTTATTTAATAATAATAAATTAATTGAATTGACAAAATTATCAATTACGGCAATTAACTATAATAATCTTCGTATTTCATTCTTTCATTCTGTCTGTCCAAACTTCGAAGTTAGTTTTTGTGTTTTTTTTCTTTAAAAAATATTTTTTGGCAGATCGAAAAAATGCAGATATTTTTTCAAGATTTATAATAAAACAATATTTGAAATTATAAAATATAAAAAGAAATGATTAACAAATAAATTTTGTTTATTATATGCTTTTTTCTATAACAAATTTCGCCAGGCTAATCTAAATTATAGAAATTTTTCTCCTTTTTATTAATAAAAAATATGAGAAAATTGTTAATTGTTAAAAAATTATAATTAAGAAATAGGAAATATACCCATTTTATGCATAATTTGTATTTCTCAATAACAATATTGTTCAGAAACTCATTCTTTTCTTTTGGAAAAGAAACATTACATATTCTATTCGATTTGTCAATTACAAATTTTAATTGAAAATGAAAATTGAACTTTTTAAATTTTTAAAAAATAAAGAAAAAAATTTTACTCAGAAAAATGTTCTGTTACATTTATTTACGAATTTCTTTAATTGTAAATTCGAAAACACATTTATAAATAATTAAAGATGACCGAGTGATAAAATCATTGTTGTATATTATAAGAATATTATTACAATAACTTTTTCAAAATTTTTTCCATCATTTCAAATCAATTATTATTTTCTACAATTTTTAATTATTTTTTATGAAAATAATTGAATTCCTTTAACCAAATTTTATTATTTATAAAAATAATTGAATAGTGTTTTCAACAAAAAATTGAATAACAAATTATTAAATTCTATTATTTTTAAAATTGCTAATTTTATATCCTAAAAAGTTAACCGCGCGTTTTATTCATTATTTTTTTGTTTCTAAAAAAATTAGCATTTTGTAACAAACGTTTTAGGTAATTAACAAATGTAAATCCTGCAAAATATTATCCTTTTTTTAATATGAAAAACTTAATTGTTTGACAAATCGAAATTATGCAGCTATTTTTTCCTTTTTTCTAAAAAAAAAATTAAAAAATGGTTGGAAAATGAAAATTAGAAAGTAGAAAATATTTTTGATATTTTTTGCTTTTCAATTACATTTCATAAACCAAGTAAAAAAAAATGTTATAAATCAAATTTTGTTTAAGAAATTTTAAATTTATTCTGGAAGAAATATTTACAAAATTTATATTTGTTAAAAACGATTGTAAAATTATTCGAAAACATCAATAACTTCTTTTCTAAATAAATATTTAATTGTTGGTGATAAGTATAAAAAATTAATATTTTCAAAAGAATATAATTTAAAACCTTTTCAAAATTCAATTATTTCTTAAAATTCATGCTATAATGCTTTGAATATTCAAACATTATTTTTGAATATTTGAATAATTTGAATAAAAAATATTCAAATCTAAAATTTTAACTGAAATTCATTTTTAAATAAATTTTAATTAGAAAATTCTACGAGAATTCAATTATTTAAATACAAAAATAAATAATTCTTTGAATAATTAAATATTTCTTAAAATTGAATTCTCATAAAGTATTTTATCAAAACATTTTTAAATAATTGATTTCTTTGACGATTTTTAATAAAATTGTGAAAAACAATTACATTTTTCGAGGAATTCGATTCAAATTGTATTAAAATTAATTGGAATTCTGCGATGAATTTTATTTATGAAAATAATTAAATTCCTAAAAATAATTTTATTATTTATGAAAATAATTCAATATCTGTAAAAAAAAATTGACTATTTATTGAAAATAATTAAATTAATGCGAAGAAATTTATAAAAAAAATTATAAATAATAGAATTCATATGAAATTGAGGAAAATTTTTGAAAATAATTGAAATTTTGTCAAAAATTTTATTAAAAATTGTTAAAAAATTGAATTTTGCCAAGAATTTTATTAAAAATTTCTAAAATAATTGAATTTTGGAAAAGAATTTATATAATTATTATACCAGAACTTAGACTTTTGTTTTTTCAAATATTTCTCATATACGTATGCATTTAACCTTTTTTTTGCTTATTATAATTTTTACGTTTATTTTTAAAATATAATTTAATATGAAAATGAAAAATGTTTTAATGTATGTTTTTTTAAGTGTTCTATAATTCATAAAGTCATTGACATTCTTTTACAGTTATACTGCTGTTGAAGCAATGAGAAATGGAGCAACACCTGCAGAAGCAGCAAAGATTGCAGTCAATAGAATGGCGAAATTTTATCCAAAGCATTCACAAGCCGTTATTACAATGAATAATAAAGGAGAATATGGAGTTTACTGTCATGGATTTCTTACATTTAACTACAGTTTTCCTTACCATGTCGCTAACGAAAAATTAGGAGATGCAACATTAATGTATCAACCTTGTTTCAATACTGCTCATTTATTTACCAACGACAGCAGAAAGTTAATTTACAATTACATATAATAATCGTGGTATTCTTTTCAGATCTCTCTTGATTTAAAGAAGAATTTTTTCTTAAATTAACATTTAAAAAATTTTTATTTTATTATTATTAGTATTTTTCAGAAAAAAAGATTTCAATTTTCAAGAAAAACATTAAAAACCTAAAAAATGTATATTTTGTTTCTACAAGTTTAAGATGATCGAAACTTTCTGTCATATCATTACTTAATTATTCTTCACATTACTTTTATTTTTCTCATTTTATTTTACATAACATTCTATTTAAAAAAAAACCAAGAGAAAATCTTTCAAAGTTCAATCACGTTTGTTAAATGATAAATACACTCCAACATTATAATATAAATTTTATAATATAATAGAAATGTCAAATATGACGAGTGTATAATAAATAAATAAATTTGAAAAAATAATAAAACTCTAATTTAATTACAATTCCAACAGGGAAAAAATATATAAAACAGAATTTATTTTAGTTTAATTAGTTAAAAGTGTAAAAAAATCTGAGTACATGTTTAAAATTCTTTTTTCTAGTAAAGTAGAGAAAAATTGCCAAAAGCAACAAAAAATTTCTTATTTTAACCTCTATAAATTTTATTATTATCAAAGTATAACATAAAATTCATTTTTCAAATGATTCTTGAATTAAAGTTAAGTTTTTGTCATTTTTAATTTTTAAATCGACATTTTTCAAAAATGTGTTTGAATTGAACGTATTTTATAATTGAATGAAACGTAATTTTTATTGAATCAAGCTTATGTGCTGAATAAAAATTATTACGTTTAATTCAAAAATAATTTTTGGTTGACTGTATAATAAAGATAATTATGTTTGATTCAAATATATTTTACCAGTGTAGAATCGAAACGAAGAAGAAAATTTAAATTTTATTTTAAAAATATTTTTGTATTTTTAGAGACAATAGAAATTACAAAAAATGTGAAAAAAATAATCTTAGCGCTGGATAAAACCAATATTTTTTTAATTTTCTTACATTTGTTGGTTTATGATATTTTTCTATTTATTTCTTATTCTATTCAAATGTTTAACATTATGAAAACAAAGTTTTAAAGTAGTAATTTTTTTAGATAAATGTCAATAGAAGTTTTTTTAGAAAGCGTATTTTTAAATATCTATCAACTCGTGAAGTTTCTTGGAAGATATCAATAAGCATGTGTTGGCAATAAAATTTTTAATAAGAAAAGAAATTACAGCACGTTTTTATTTACAAATTCAAATTTGTTGATAACTAGCAAAAGCTGTAAATAATAGTTGCATAATTCAAAGAAAATTAATTAATATTTTTAAAAAATATATATTTTTTTTAACTTTTTCTAAATTTGGTTAAGTTTAATTTTTTTTAAGTAATTATACCAATGTGAAAATTTTCACAAAGTCAAACAAACTGAGATTTGGGCGTCAATTTAGGCCCAACTTGGCTTCCTAAATTTTTAGAAGTAAAGAAATAAAATAAATGGCTCATTAAATTATTATTTAAATAATATACTGGACTAGCAAACAAAGAAATAAAATTGTAATAAACACCAAAATAAAAAAAATTTTTGTTTAGTGTACTTGAGCAAAGTTTGGGTCACCCAACTTAACCATAACTGAAATTTCCAAAAGTATTACCAAACTGAACTTTAATTAGATTTTTTGTTATAAATATATAAATCAATAGAAAGCTTAAGAAAAAATAATAAAATTAAAAACTTTTAGAAATAAATAAAAGAAAATATGTAAATTCGATTTGTCGGATAACATTTTTTAACAAAACTGTCATTTCTTTTATAGAAAAAAATTTGCATGATCTTGATTTATTAATTATTATTGTTTTATTAATTAATTTACAATTAAATTTAAATTCTGTATTGCTAGTAATTTTTATGGGCTACATGTAAATGTTTTTTATTTATAACTAAGAACACTGGAAGATTTGTTAAAAAATTGTTATTGAAAATTCTAATTGTTCCAAATTTCTTTTTTTTTCTTTATCAAAAAGCATATTTTTAAATATCTTTCAACACGTGGAGCACCTTGGAAGATATCAATAAGCATGTATTAGCAATAAAATTTTAAATAAAAAAAAATTACATTTCGTATTTATTTGCAAATATTAAATCTGTTGATAATTATTAAAAGCTGTAAATAATAGTTGTATAGTTCAGAAAAAAATAAATAAAATTTACTTTTAAACAATTAAATAATTAAATTAAACAATTAACTTTATTAACTACAATAATTTGGATGTTCTTTCATTTATTCACTTTTTCGGTCCCTCACACTCTGAAGTTGTCTTTTGTTTATAATTTTGTTTTTTTTATCTTTAGATAGATTGTATATTATATTATTATGTTATAATTATTTTTATTTTATAATTAATTCAAAATTGTAATGACAAATGGAAATCATCAGAATTTGTTTCACTTCTTTTCATTAAAAGACTAAAATTTTGTTAAATATAATGTTTTGTCAAATTAAAATTATGCAGATTTTTGTTCTTCACTTCTAAACAAAATTAGAAAATTGTTAAACAACTCTGATTAAGAAATAGAAAATTTATTTATTTTGTATTATTTTTCTTTATGAATCACAATTTTTTTAACAAAATTATTATTTTGTTTTAGAAACAAAAGAAAAATATTTGCACAATTCCTATTTTTAATCTTATTTTTGGAACAGGATTTTCCACAGGAATTAAGACATTCAAAAATTTCAAATTCAAACCTTTTTTAAATTAAACAATTTATAAAAGTATTGTTATAAAACATGAAGATATCGATTGCTTCGAGTCGAAGACTCGAAGTGACCGATTTCTTTATGTTTTCTATTATATTAAAGATGACCAAGTAATAAAATAATTATTTTATATTATAAGAATATTGTTACTGTAACTTCATCAAAATTATTTTCATCATTTTAATTCAATTATTATTTTCTAGAATTTAAAATTATTTTTTATGAAAATAATAATTAAATTCCTTAGAAACAATTTATTATTTATGAAAATAATTAAATGTTTGCACACAATTTTATTAAATGTTTTTTTAAATAATTGGATTCTTTTTTGGAAATTTTATTAAAATAGTAGATATTGAAAATCATTGAATTAGAAATTATTTTTGAAAATAATTGAAATCAGGTCAAGAATTTTTTTGACATTTATTAAAATAATTGAATTTTAAAAAAAAATTTTGTTATTTATAAAGATATTTGGGATTTTTATAAGAATTTTTTTTAAATTTTCAACATAGTTGAATTTTATAAGAATTTTATTTTTTTTGAAAATAATTGAATTTCTGCAATTATCTGTAATTTTTCAAAAATTGAATTTTTTTAGTGTTTTCAACATAAGTTTAAATTGGAAAATTTTTAAATTCTATTATTTTTAAAATTACTAATTTTATTTAAAAAAGGTAGTAAGAAGTTAGCCACGTGCTTTAGCGCGCGAATTGTTTCTAGTTAACATAAATAAAACAAATAAAGTAATAAAAAATAATTAAAAAAAAAATTTTTTTTTTACTTGATTTCTAAGCAGAAATAGTGTTAGAAAAAAAATATATAATTTTTTTAAATTCTGCTCTTATATAGTTGAAAATTCAGGTTTCCCTTAAGAAATCAACTTAAAACAATTTACTCTGGTTTTTGAAAACTCTACGTATCAATTTTGTACGTATCTTAGAGAAAATTCCAAAACACGAAGGAAAATAATGTTTTTAAAGTGAATCGAGAATTTTTTTTATAACAAAATATTTACACTCGACGTATACAAATAACTACACAAACTCCGTCTGTATTCATAGCGTAGTCATAGAATTTTACACTTGCAGTGAACATAAATTTAAAGTACCATAGAATGGCCTCTCTTAAATTTTACTCTATTAGTTGCAGCTTAACCTCTGCTACCCAGCAATTTCAGTAAAAACAGATTTTCCCCGAAATTTACGTTCTCCCAAAGAAATATTTCTTCCCTATTTTCATAAATATGCTCAAACCAAGAAAAAAATTCTGCAAAAATTTTGTCAAAAATTCGACTAATGACTTCTAAATGAAAAAAAATTTTCAACATTAAAGAATAGAAAATACAAATTTTATTTTCTTTTTTAATTTTATTTTGAGAAATAGGATAAAATTTGAAGAAAATATATTTATAGAAAATTTCTCCTGGTGTCGATTTTTTCTGTATAGAAACGAGGAAGATTGAAAGGTATGTTTGTGATAAATTGGCACCGATTCGTGGTGGCAATTTTGAAAAAAAGATTTAAAAAATAGTACTTCAATTTTTGCAGTACATTTCATTGATGGGAAGAGCCGATTGACAATTTCACGTTTTGAAATGGAGAAAACGAGGGTTGTAAGAAAGGGGCGTCAGGTGTAGCCGCGGGGCTTTTATTCAGGACTTTATGGTGTAGTCAAGGGACCTGTAAAGACGAATCTCGGTCTGTTCATATATGCATATCTCATTTCATTTATGTATGAACGATTTCGAACCAGCAATATACACTGCATACTATCGAGAAAACGCTCCCACAAAACCGAAACATTTTTCACGATTTACTTCCTTTTTTCTATTACACATCCGATCGATTGCCCCCCCCCCCCCTTCACTGTGAAAATATAATTCACTTTATATTTTTCAATAATTTTATGCACATATGTACCTATTAATTTTTGATTTTTTAAAATTTTTATTTGCTTATCTCTGTACTTATTATTTTACTTATTTATTTGCCTACATATTCAGGGTTGCTACACAACCTGAAAACCTGGAAATGTTAGGGAATTTTATAAACCTTGAAAAAACCTTATTTTCAATACAGTTTTAATTAAATTTCATCAAAAAATTAAATTATTTTTCAAAAATTTTAATGAAATTCTTCGTAACAATTCAATTTTTTTTCAAAATAAAAATAAAAACCTTGAAAAGTCAAAGAATTTTGATCAAAATTTTGGAAAATTATTGTTTTCTAAAGTTATTGTGCTTCTTCTTGAAATCTAATTTTATTTAAACATTTCAAAATTAATTCAATTTTAAAAGAATGCATTTAAAATTTTCATAAATAGATGATCTTCAAAAGATTTTAATTTAAAATTTTGTAAAATTTCAATTTTAAATGAATTTAATTAAACTAGTTTAAAAAAACTTAGATTTAAAAAAAAATTTTTTAACTAAAATTCTTCTGAAGTTAGTTAAATTTTTTAATATATATTTAATTAATTGATTATTAAAAATAATGGATTTATAGAAGAATTTTAGTTAAAAACACTAAAACAAATTGAATTTTGAAGCAATTACAAATGATTGGAGAAATTCAATTATTTTCAAAAATAGTAAAATTCTTATCACAAAATTCAATTATTTTCTAAAATTTTAATAAAATTCTTGTCAAAATTTTAATTATTTTCAAAAAT